ATGTATCCTACACTTATTGGTAAATAGTACATTGGTAAATATTATTTTTATTGGTAAATAGCCAGATGAGAGTATCTCCCTTTCTGCCACAGAAACTGATTTTTTGTCAATCCTTCAAAAAAATGATTCAACCCTAGACGGGACTAGTAAGCATTCAAGAGCCAATTTTTAATTAAAATTACTCGAAACTATCAATGATAAGTGATATTAACCACTGGCGCATAGATTTTGAATCAGTCTAAAAAATTTTTTCTGTGATTACAGTACTTAACTCTGCATGCAATATACCTTAATATAATTCAAAGAAAATGTAGAACCAGTGGCCAAATGGTAGGCAAACTAAAAAGGATATAGTGAAATTGGACATGACAATACACTATAGACTAGCTAGTGTAATTACCCTGCATAGAAAAACTCCATTATCAATCAGGTTTTGCCTTGGAACAATCTGCATACAGAATGTTATTTAGAGTCAGGCACATCACATGAACATTTAATTCTTCTACATGCTGATATTCCTGGATATTAAAAGTATTACTTTCAGAATTCAATGCGTTTTTCAGGTACATGCCTAACAAACTAATGCATCAAAAAAATTAAAGTTCAGAAGAGCCTCTGAGAAACATACTTAATTTTTTTTCTCGTTCTTGCCAAGTACCCACCAATTGAATCATAAGCTAAAATAGGTCTCTCTTGTGGTCTAATAACCTGCATGTAACAACAATTTTTTACTTTAAAAAACTAACAAACGAGCTAACAATTAATATCCAGTGATGATAAAGGTTGCATGGCATGATAATAGCATCTACCTTCCTTAAATCATAATTCTGTATTGGAGAACAAAGGTGAGTAAATAACATACACATAAATGGACAGCATTACCCTAAAATAGCTGTTAAGGCTTTCATCAGCTTGCCCAGCCATTAACTTAGTAGAAACATATGATGGAACACAGAACAGGCAATCCTACAATTAATATTATAAACGCAAATATTAGAACATAATTA